CAACGGTGATCTAATGTTGCCACATTTGATTGTCAGTTATTGGTGTTCCTCTTCCTGGACCTTTTGCCACTATCACAATTGATCACCCTCCTTGAAATACTATTTTTATAAGCCATCTAGAATACTACTTTCTTGATTTTTCTTCCACCTCAGTGACCATTTGTTTGTCGCCTTTCTCCTTAGTTCTTTTCTCTTCACTTAATGGAGTGCTTGTGTCCCAGTATTTGGTCCTTGGACTTCACCTAACTTTCACTAAATTTCATATATATACTGATAACTCCCAAGTTTATATCTCTTCTTTTAACTCCAGACTTATATATCCAGTTGCCTGGATGCATCCAGATATCAAAAACAGTCTCAAACTTACTTGCCTCAAACTGAATTCTTACTTCCTGTATCTGTTTCTCTCACAGCCAGCCTCATTTCAGTTAATATAACAATTCAATTTTTCTACTTGCTTGGACCAGAAGCCTTGGAGATGTCTTTAATTCTTCCTTTGCTTTCACATCCTGCCTTTGCACTGACAACTTAGAGAATATATCAGGAATTGGAACCACTTCTCACCATCCCACCACCACCACTGTATTCTAGGCCTGCAACAGCTCTTGCCTGGTCAGTTACAGTAGCCTTTTACTTGCTGTCTCCATTTTCACTCTTGGCCTCTGTTGTCTGTTCTCCACACAGCAGCCAGAGGGATCATAGCACATGACTACTCAGAACCTACCATTTGCTGCACATCTCACTCAGAATCCCGTGTTCTTACCATGCCTTACTGTGCCCTACCAGGATTGGTATAGACTGCCCCCTACTTATTTTGGACATCTCAAATCACTCTCCCACCCTCACTGTACTCCAGTCACACTGGCCTCCTTATTTGTCAAACACACCTAGCATGTACTCACCTTAGCCTTTATATGTATTGTCCTCTGTCTGAAATACTCTTCCTTCTGTTCTTGTGGCTCACTTCTTCCTTTCAGGTCTTCACTCAAGTGTTATTTTGGAGATAGGCCTTCTCCTTTGGCCATCTGAAATAGCACTCTCTCCTCACCTTAATCCTTCACCATGCTTTACTTAGCTTCATGGGCCTGATATAATTATACATTTTTCTATGTATTTTTCTTCCTGTATAAAAGAGGAAAAATAGATAAATATATAAATGTATGTTTATGTATTTATACATTCTCCTCCCCCATTTCGTTAATTGTTGTAGCTTTAAAACCTGGAACAGTACCTGGCAAATGCAGGCACCCCCACTTATTGTCAATAATCTTTTCTTGAGAATAACATATTCTGCCCTAAAATGCTCACAGGGAGTCTACTTCCTATTATTTTAAGTGGAAAATATTATAATATGTTACCAATTTAAAACACCCATATACTTTTCTAAAATACAGTTTCAGAAGACTAATTTATCAGGGACAAATTATTATGTTGGGATAATGCTTAACATATTGAACCCTGATAACCAAGCAACTAATATGAATGTTAGTATGCAGTTTGTGTGTAGTCATATTTACTCTTCCTTTGTAGTTGCTGTTCTCAATTACTTTGATTTAAAAAAAATTTTTTTTTGAGACAGTCTTGTTCTGTCGCTCAGGCTGGAGTACAGTGGCAGGATCTTGGCTCACTGCAGCCTCTCCTCCTGGGTTCAAGTGATTCTCCTGCCTTAGCCTCCCAAGTAGCTGGGATTACAGGCGTATGCCACCATATCCAGCAAATTTTTGCATTTTTAGTAGGGATGGGGTTTCGCCATGGTGGCCAGGCTGATCACGAACTTCCCACCTCAAGTGATCCACCTACCTCAGCCTCCCAAAGTTCTGGGATTATATGTGTGAGCCACCGTGCCCAGCCTACTTTGATTCTTTTTTCACAGTTTTATTTAGTTCTTCAACTTTTTTAGGATTAATTGTGTGAACAACAGGCAAAAATAAGAGCTAATTATGAAAGACACTAGAGAAGCTTGTTTAGAATAAGTGAATAATAGCAGAGAATGGCCACTTGTGCCTCTCTTAGTTCTGGCAGCAGCAAAGATTTGTTGATACATTGTAAGCTTTTGAAAAGTCTAAATGTGAGTCTGACATAGCAATTCAGAATGTAACTCGAATGTTTACTCATGCATTGTTTTGTTAAAATGTTATGTTGAAATTTGGAGACAGAAATGTAAATTTTCCTATATAAACATTGACCAAAAACATTGGGTACAGAGAGTTATCTTTGGTCTTTAATGACTATATAGTCAAAGCCAACAGGCATTCTCCAAGGGAGTAGTAGTCTATGGAGTATGCTGTTATTTACTGAAGTGCTACATACATTGCATGTTTACTAAATGTGTGCATATTTTTCTTTATAATACAGAGATTTTATTAAAGATTTAGTAAGAAACAAAGGATGTTTATGAAACAACACCTAGAACAATTAATATAAATTCCTATCAGACATCACTGTCTTTTTTTTTGGAGACAGAGTCTCACGCTGGCTCACTGCAGCCTTTATCTCCAGGACTCCAGCAGTTCTCCTGCCTCAGCCTCCCCAGTAGCTGGGATTACAGGCATGAGTCACCGTGCCCAGCTGACATCACGGTTTTCTTATCTCTCTTTGGCTTGCGCGTGCGTTCTCTTTCTTTCTCTCTCCCTCTCTCAATATACTCGATGTTTCGAGATTTTACTGATTTTGGAAAAAAAATCATGAAAAAAATGAGGATTACTAACATAGGAAATACAGTTGTTACTGAACATAAATTTACTTTTTATCACCACAGCAGTGCCAGGATATGAAATTCATCAGAAGAAATTCTAGGTATTTGGGAAGTACCACAAAGGGAACTATAATGAAAAGAAAAAAATGGAATGAGTATAATGAAGTCCTCCATGTTCTCACACTATAGATAAAACCCTCAAATCTCTGATGTAGATAACCAGAAGAAGGAGATCCATTCTGTATAAAATAAGCAAAGCTGCACGATAGTTAATGTGCTATTGCAATAAGACGAGTTGCACATGAATTGTACTCAACTTTGATTTGTGTAGAGGCGACTGGGCCTTTTAAAGGGAGAATGAGGAAATTGGGAGAAGTTGAGTCAGGCTCCGAGTTAGCTAAGTGAAAAGTACCAGATAGTTGGAAGCGGGGATTGGTCCATGTAAAACCCACCTGGGTATGCTAGCTGGTACTTACCAAAATTAGTCTTCTACCTTACCACAGAGACTGAAAGACAAAGGCCCTGTTTTCAGGTCTTGGCTGGAACAAATTCTTTTGTCAGCCTTGAGTTTTCTCAGGCAGGCACTTTAAGAAGACGTCTTAGGGATGCAACTTTGAGCTGCTAGAAACAATGCTAGTGTTTGTTCAGGTCTTTAGAGGCCAAGGTTGAGGCGTAGTTGAGAAAAGGACTCAGAGGAACCTGGCTAGAGTTTGGCCAAGAAGAGAGCCTTTGCCCCTGGGAAGTTAATATAAATCAGACCCTATCATTCCACTTTTTATCAACTTTGCTTTACACTTAGAATTAAATCCACCCCTCTTCCAAGGCTCACAGAGCCCCCAGGTGAGCTCATCACTGCCTGTATTTCCAGCCTTCCTGCTTGCTGTGCACCGGCCACACTGGTTTTCCTTCAGCCCTCCCTTTGCACATGGTCACTCTGCTTGGAATGTTTTCCTGCATTCTTTGCTTGGCTAGATTCTTTTATGACTAGATAACTGTTACCTCCCCAGAAAAGCCTTCCCCAATTCACCTATCTAACACAGGTCCTCAGTTTTCTCTTTTGTCTCTTTCATAGAAAAAGTTACATTCCAACTTGAAAATGCTGGTATTTGATTTATTCCTTGGCCTACTCTTTTTTCATTCTGCCTGCATCAGAATGTAATGCTGGATCTTGTTTGCCATTGAATGCCCATCACCTAGCATTGGACTTGGCACATTTTAAGTATTCAATAAATATTTATTAAATGAGCGGGGACCCTTCAGAGAAATATTCGTGTGAATTAAAACAAATAATTTGCAGATTTTATTGACAAAATATCAGAGATAAACTTGCTAAATTAAAACTTCTATTGTCAAAAAATGTCATCTATCATATCTCATTTTTTTTGTAGTAAAGCATTCTTGAGTATACAGAGGCATTAAGTACATTCACATTGTACAACCATCGCTACCCTCCATCTCCAGAAGTTTTTCATCTTCTTAAGCTGAAATTTTGTATCCATTGAACACTAATTCCTCACTCTATCCTCCTAGCAGCCACCATTCTACATTCCATCTCTATGAATTTCACTACTCTAGGTACCTCTTGTAAGTGAAATCAGATAGTGTTTGTCCTTTTGTGACTGGTTATTTCACTTAGCATAATGTCTTCAAGATTCATCCATGTTGTATGTCAGAATTTTCTTCTTTTTAAAGACCGAATTATATTGCATTTTATATATGTGTGTGTATGTACACACACACACAAACACATACCCCACATTTTGTTGATTCCTTGGATAGACACTTGGATTTCTTCTACCTTTATGCTATTGTGAATAATGCTGCTGTGAACATAGGTGTACAAATATCTGAGTCTCTGCTCTCACTTCTTTCGGGTGTATATCAGAGTAGAATTGCTGGATCAGTAATTTTATTTTTAATTTTTTGAAGAACCACCAAAATGTTTTCCATGGAGGCTGTGTCATTTTACATTCCCAGTAGCCATGCACAAAGGTTCTAGTTTCTCCACATACCAGCTAACACTTGTTACTGGTTTTCTTTGTTTGTTTTACTAATAGCTATTTTAGTGAATATGAAATGATACCTCATTGTGGTTCTGATTTGCGTTTCCCTAATGACTAAAGATACTGAGCATCTTTTTATTCTTTTGTTGACTGTATATCTGCTTTGGAGAAATTTCTGTTTAAGTCCTTTGCTTATCTTTAAATCAAGTGCTTTATTATTTGTTGTTGAACATACAAATATTTTGTATAGTAGTAGCAAACATACAAAAATACTTAAAACGTGTCTTCTTTCTCACTATTAGTGGTGTAAAGTATAATTTGCTAGCTCACACTACCCTAACCTTGGAAAGTGCTGAGGATAGTTTCAAGACCCATAATCTGTCTATTAATGGAAATGGTAAGTACAATATATATTTTACTTATTACATACATTCTGCCTATATTTCTAATTATAGTATGTTCCCCTCAAGTGGTTATCAGCTTAAATAGTGGAGACACAAGTGATTCTGTTGGTTCTTTCAAATATATCTGTCCCTCTTCCCCAAAGGAGAAAAGTTTATTTTCCTTTCTCTACACTGAGATTTGTTTGCAAGGTTTAGTGGGAAAAGAAAGGTCTCAGGTATACTGAATCCTTGTTTTTGACTTGGAAGTTATGACTTCACTACTCTTCTAGCTGGAAATTAAAGACATGACTTACTTTTAAATTTAAAATCAAGGAACCCAGCTTTTCTGTTAGTACGAAGCAGAGAATGTAAGAAAGAGAAAGGGTTAAATTATCTTAACCCTTTTCTGTTTGGAGTGTAGTGGTAGTTTTAGTTTATCCAAAATAAACATACAGGAAAGTGAAGAAGGGGGTTAGGTCATTAGGAAGATTTGTAAAACTTAGCATGAGCACTTGCTACTCTCCCAGGTGATTTTACTCGTGATAAAAAATATGGAGCAGTGTTGGTAAGGCAGTTTGGAAGTATGATTTGGGTTGTTTACTTTTGTTCATTTTCTCCAAGCAAAATTAGTAAGTGGTAAATGTCCTAATTATACTTACTGTTGTAAAGACCGTGGCTCTGTACTGATAAAATTGATAATGTTATACCAATATTTTTTGTTTCACAATAAGAAGTTATGTTAAAAATAGGCAAAAGTTCATGAAATGTAAATATATAATTTAAAAAAGATAATTTTGAGGCTAGGTGTGGTGGCTCATTCCTGTAATCCCAGTTCTTTGGGAGGATGAGGTGGGAGGATCACTTGAACCCAGGAGTTTGAGACTTGCCTGGGCAACATAGTGAGACATTATCTCTAACAACAACAAAAAAAAATTGGTTGGCCATGGTGGTGCGTGCAGGTAGTTCCAGCTACTCAGGACACTGAGGTAGGAGGATTGCCCGAGCCCAGAAGTCTGCAGTGAGGTATGATTGTGTCACTGTTCTCCAGCCTGGGGTACAGAGCAAGACCCTGTCTCAAGAAATAGAACACGTCAAAAAATAGAACATTACTACCACTACTTTCCCTTGGTTACCCTAGTCATATATCTCCATCTTTGTGGTATATACTTCCTTGCTTTTCTTTATGGTTTTCTTAATACCACATTTGTGTGCTTCCCTAAATAATATAATTTTGCATGATTTGAACTTTGTTATGGAATCATGTTGTCTTAGTAATTTGCTTTTTGTTAATCATTCAGTATGTATGCTTTTCATTACTTATAGTATCTCATTTTGTGATAATATGTATTTATCTCTCACACTGATTTAATCATTTTGAGTAGTTACAGGGTTCTTCAGCTTTTTTGTTTCTTGGGTCAGTTTCAATAAGTTATATTTTTATAGATACCCATTCGATCTAAACTTTGAGATTTATAGGCATTGAATTCTCTATAGTGTCCTGTATCTATTGAATTTCTGCAGCCTCTGAAACATTGTTCCCTCTTTTCCATTACTGGTACTTACTTTCTGTACCATCTCTGTTTTTAAATTCTCATTCTCGTAATAGATTTGTCAGTTTTATTCACTTATGTGTTCCATATTTGCTAATTATTTGTTAGGAGTAATGACTGTAGCCTATATTACTGCAAGAAGTGTGATAAAATCTCCTGCGATTGTGGATTTTTCTACCCATAGTTATGTCAATTTTTGCTGTATATAATTTGAGCCTTTGTTCTTTAATGCATGTGTGTTTAAATTGTGTATTTTCTCCTTTTACATCAAACTGTATTGTGTTACAGACATGCCTCTTCAGCATTATATTGGATTTTAACATTTCTGTAATTTGACAATCTTTTCTTCCTGAAGTTTTTAGTCCTTCTGTATTGAATATCAAATAGCTGTATATTTAGCTTTAAATCTACTATGATAACCTGTGTTTTTTAATTGTCTTACCTATTCCATGGTTTTTTTTTTCTTGCATTTTTAAGGCAATTTTTCCTTGTTTGAATTAAAGTTATACCTCCTTTTTCTCATTTTTTAGAACTTAATCTCTAGAAATTTCATTAATCATATTTATTAAAATCTAAACTTAAAAAATAGTTTTGTGCTTTTCTCAGATAATACAAGGATTTTAGAACAGTTAAACTCTTTCCCCTAACCTATGTGCTATTTTTATATATTGTAATTCTTTTTTTTTTTTAGGAAGATGTTTTATAGATTTAATACTTATTTAGGTTTACCTGCATGTTTCTATGCACTACTTGTATCTTTTGCCCTGCGTCTGGGATAATTTTCCTTCTGCTTGAAGTATGTGCCTTAGAATTTATTTTAGTGTGTTCTACTGATATCAAACTTCTTGGTTCTTTTTGTTTATCTGAAGATGGCTTTATTTTGCCTCATAATTGAAGATATTTCTTAATTCTGCAGTTTCACTGTTTTGTTGAATATTGAAGATATAATTCCAATATTTTTGGCTTCTATTTTATTATAAGTGTTGTAAATCATTTGTCAGTGTGTTACCTCTGTAAGTGTAATCTTTTTATTTCTTTTTTGCCTTTGGTTTTCTAAAATGTTACTGTGGTATAATTAGGTATAGAGTTTATGCTGCTTGGGGTTTCTTGAGCTTCTTTACATTGTGGATAGATATGTTTCATCAGTTTAGACAAAATCTCACTTATGTGTTTCAAACTGCCTCTGCCGTTTTCTAGCTTTTCTCCTTCTTGCGTTCCTGTTAAACCTATGTTAGTCTTTTTCGTTGCATCCTTCATGTTTCTTACTCTTTATGATGTACTTTTCAGCTCACTTACAGATATTTAGAACATAAGCTATTCATAAATCTGGGATTGCCTATATAAAGAAGTTTGCTTTCAAACTTTAAATTTATAAATCACAAAGTTGATTTCACAAGTATTACTGAAATGTATGCTTTTAATAATTTTTATTTGCTGCCTGTTTTAGGAAAAATAGCTTTTATTTGTGTTTGCATTTTGGAATTGCATTTATTATGCTTGTGCATTTATTTTTCCCAGATTAAGCCCTTTATTGCTAAAATATAGCAGCTTTAAAAATGTATTAATGAAAAAGATTTGAATACTCTCAGAACATTGTTGTGTGCTATTGTATAGTAGAATCTTGGGTAGATAAGTTTAAGACTTTTTGGTTTTACTACAGACGTTGGCTACCTTGCATGTATATATTAAATAACAAAAAAAATCTGGGGTAATTAAAACTTTTAGGTAAATAATAGTTATGGCCAGTAGCTAGCCATTTTATAGGCACTACCATCAGGACACAGCAAAAACTTTAAAAATCATTTTTATGTGGTCCAGTGTGAACTAACAGCCATACGTTGACTTGTTGTTTATACCCTGATGCCTAGAATAAATTATTTAATGCTTTTCTCCGTATAGATAGATAGTACACAGGTAGGTATCTTCATTAAAGTATCTTAATGTTTTTTGAAAGAACTTTTTTAAACAATGTTATACTTGTAGAAAAGATGCAAGTTGAATGTCAAGTTTATTTGGTTGTTTGTAATTAGAGATGAGTATCGGTATATTACCTAGTCTGGCCTCAAACTTTATTCTGGCCTCAAACTTTCGGGTGCAAGCAGTCCTTCCACCTTAGCCTCTGGAGTAGCTGGTGCTACAGGCACGTACCACCACACCCAGCTTGAATGTCAGGATTTTTTTTTTTTTTTTTTTTTTTGTCATGATAGCACTTTCCATAAAGCAGCCAAAACATTATCAAAAATGAACTGTTGATAATAATAAATATTGAGGAATACTTTTTCTCAAAAAAATTTATGAGAGCAAGTTGCTTACATGATAGTCCGTACCCCAAAATGTATTAATACATATTTCCTACTGTCAGAATATTCAGCTACATCACCATCACTCTTGAAGTCAAAAAATTAAAACCAGTACATTACCGCCATGTAATCCTCAGACTCAATTCAAGGTATTGCCCACTGTCCTGATAATGTTTTTTATGGCAGAGGGATACAGTGCAGAATCATACATTTCATTTAATTGTCATGCTTTTTTATTTTCCTTCGATCTGGACTAGTTCTTCAGTCATTTTTTTTACTTTCATGACCTTGGCATTTTACAAGAGTATAGCTGGTTATTTTGTAAAAGGTCCCTCTATCTGGGTTTGTCTCATGTTTTCTTGGAATAAGATTCAGGATATACTTCTCTGGCAGAAATATCACAGAAGTGATACTGCATTCTCATTGCATCCTATCAAGTGACATATCATTGATTCAGCCATTATTAATGATGTTTGCTTTGATCACTTGGTTGAGATGGTGTCTTCCAAACTTCTGTACTATGAAGTTACTCTTTTGTTTCCCCGTTTGTAATCAGTACATACTTTGTGGTTAGAGGAGAGTACCTTGAAAGTACTCTAGCCTGGGCAATATGGAAAAACACCATCCCTACAAAAAATACAAAAACTAGCTGGGAGTGGTGGAGCACACCTATGATCCCAGCTACTCTGGAGGGTGAAGTGGGAGATTGGTTGAGCTGGGGAAGACAAGGCTGCAGTGAGCCGAGATTGTGCCACTGCACTCCAGCCAGGGCAGCACAGTAAGACTGTCTCAAATAAGAAAGAAAGGAAGGAAGGAAGGTGATATAAGGAAGGAAAGAAAAAAAAGAAACTACTGTGTAAGCACAGTTAACCTTTGAGCAGCATGCAGGTTAGAGGTGCCATCCCCTATGCAGCCAAAAATCCACATATAACTTTTGACTCCTCCTAATAGACTAATAGAACTATTAATAGACTACTGTTGACCGGAAGCCTTACTGATAACATAAACAGTCAAGTAAAACATTATGTATGTTACATATATAAAATATACAAGATTCTTGTAATAAAGTAAGTTAAAGAAAAAATGTTATTAGGAAATGGTAAGAAGGAGGAAATATATTTACTATTAAGTGGAAGCAGATCATCAGAAAGGTCTGCATCCTCATCATCTTCACATTGAGAAGGAAGAAGAAGAGGAGTTGGTCTTGCTGTCTCAGAGGTGGCAGAGGTGGAAGAAAATCCATATGTAAGTGGACACATGTAGCTCAAACCCATGTTGTTCAAAGGTCAACTGTATAATATTTCTTACTAGACTTTCAATGTATTCCTTGCTTTATATCAGTATGGACTCATGTTTTTGCAGTGTATCATAATCTGTTAATATCATTGTTTTATGGTTCAAATTGTCCCCAATTTGGCCAATGAGAGTCCATTCGAGATGACCTCTATGTCTTTTTGACACATCCCCATCATTCTTTGAACACTTCCTTATGTATCAATATATTCAGTTCATCATGTACTTTTCCCCATCCCTGGAATTGGCCATTTTCCCAGGGAACCCTGGATGCCCTTCTCACTCAACTTAGGGCTCTGACATACTGCTGAGTTACCCCATGTGTAGATGGCTGCTTCACTGCTGTCAGACTCTGACTTCCAAGGCTAGGCTGCCCCTGAATATGGATACTCTGTTCTGCCTGGGTTCTGATACTTCACATCAAGCAGCCCCCACTTTCTCTGATTGGTCCCTGACTTCCCACAGCAGGCCATCTTCTGAGTAGAGGATCCCCTCGGGCTCTGATGTTCCACCTCAGGCTCCTCTTCCCAGGCATACCTCTTTTACCCTGCTTGCTCAAGACAGAGTCTCAAATCTAGGCTGCACCCCAGTGTCATCACTCTCTCAGCCCCTTGAGGCACTGATACTTCCTGCAGGCAGCCCCTCCTGCTCAACATTCTCATTCTGCCTGTCTCCACCATCCATTTCTAGCACACCATAGCTCCTTCTCCAGTCCTGGAACAGATGTTCATGTTGGGGGTGCTACCTAATGGCTTATGACTGAATTGTTCAGGAAGAGAAAGGGAAGAGAAAGGGTCAAAAATGTTGATTAAGTTATCTTATTCTCTGAAATAATGTGGTTTTTTTTTTTCCATTTTTGTTTTTTTGAGATGGAGTCTTGCTCTGTCGCCCAGGCTGGAGTGCAGTGGCACAGTCTCAGCTAACTGCCACCTCCGCCTCCCAGGCTCAAGCGATTCTCCTGCTTCAGCCTCCCGAGTAGCTGGGACTATAAGCATGCACCACCATGCCTGGCTAATTTTTGTATTTTTAGTAAAGACGAGGTTTCACTATATTGGCCAGGCTGATCTCGAACTCCTAACCTCAAGTGATCTGCCTGCCTTGGTGTTGCAAAGTGGAATAATGTTTTATTCCAAGGATCACCTTTTAATTATTATAATGAGAATCAGAGCAAAAAGTAGAATTCGATAAACATATTAGAATGTTTTTATGTTAAATGAGATCACTTATATTCTCTGAACAACTTTCATTGAATATTCAATTAAGATCAAACAAGAGACTAAACAGTTCATTTTTAATTCAGGTAATAGCATGCTATAAACTATCAGTTTAATATTATCCTGTCCTTTCTGTTCTCATATTTGATTTTCACACTAAATACGGCACCGGTATTTGAGTAGGATGACTCTTTACATAAAAGTAATTTTAAAATATGTTCTGTACTAAGCAAAACAAAATTGTAAAAAAAAATGTGTATAATGACCTTAAATAAACATATATTTGTAACTTGATTTTTTTTTTTTTTCTTTCTCCTTTAACTAGAGGAGTCTTCATTTTGGCTTCCCCTATATGGCAACATGTGCTGTCGACTAGTTGCCCAGCCAGCTTGTATGGCTGAGGATGCATTTGCAGGATTTCTTAATCAGCAGGTTAGAGGACTTTAAATATCCTAGAACAATTGTAGCTCCACTTTAAATCTTAGTATACTGGCAGTTGTTTCACCTTCTGATATTGAGAAGTATTGTTTTAAGTCTTTTTTTAAAAGTCAGTTTTCTAAATGTTATCAGATATAAACTGTAGGGGGTTCCAGGTGAAAAGAATGGCAAGGCAGGGAGGGATCTACAGCAATGTTGATGGCTAAGGCGCTACCTCTCCATGCTCCTCTGCTTCATTAATAGCAGCAACAGGATCATCAGCAACAGAGGAATCCTTATGGAAACTGATGAGGGCTGCTCAGCACCTTTCACATAAAGGTCTTTCTGGCAGACAGCGTTTGGCACGGTTTAGGACTCAGAGCTTCCAAAGCTGCCTCTGTGCCACCTACTCCTGATTTATTTATAACCATAGTTATTTATATTCAGTAAATAATTAATTGTGAGCTTCAATGAATCAATAGCTTTTTCTAAAAGATTCCATTAGGAGGAAAGAAAATTTGCATTCTTACAGGGTAGTTGACGTTTTCTGATGCTCTGAGAGCAGTAGGGAAAATAATATTTTGAACATATAGATATTTTCCTGAGTCATTTAATGAATTGCTATAGAATTCTACGCACTAATTTTTAATTGACTAGCTTTTCTAAAACAGCATTAATCTGTGGTTTTATGTGTGTAAAAGCTAGGTGGTAATCATTGCCTCCATTTCACTTAATGCCTTTAAGAATTCCAAACTTTTCTTCTCTGATATTAACATATTCTTGGATTTGGGGCAATTAACCTTTTGTATAGCAAATTAATGGATAATTTCATCACATTAAAAAAATTCTAAATAACTAATTTAACCTTGATGAGTATTTTGATGAGTTTAGAGTTAAGGTGCTAATAATTTAAAATTGATAGTCTCTTGATTTTTTTTTCCCCAGCAAACGATAGAAGGTCTGATTAGTTGGAGAAGGCTGTATTGTGTTTTGCGAGGAGGTAAACTCTATTGTTTTTACAGTCCAGAGGAAATTGAAGCTAAAGTGGAACCAGCTTTGATAGTACCCATTAACAAGGTAAAGGAAATGCTATTTTGAAAAAAAAGATACATCTTAGGAAGTTTGTTTTTGTCTGTGCCGTTTACGTTGTTGATGCCTTATAAAGAAAAGAGAAGCACTGGTAAAAACAGGTTAGTTCATAAATATGATTTAATCTGTTTCTATTACAGAGCTTATCTGTTATAAGAAATAGTGTATATTTCCTAAGAAAATATAGTAATGGACATCTATACCAGTAAATGGGTTTTAAAGCAGAGAATGTAACTCTACATTAACAGTACATTTAAGTTTTTCATGAATTTATTTGAGGTTAAACATAAATTGTTAGCTCATGTTATAGTGGTGCTCTTTCTAGTTAATATTCAAATGAAGCCATAAAAAGACCTTCTTGACTGTACTTTCTGATTTCTTATGGGATTGTTGGGCAATTGTCCAATCTGTCAGAACAGAAAAGCCTGCCAGTCCATTTAGAATAGTTGACTGCTTATACTGCATTTAAAATGTAGTACCACACCACATAGAGAATTTGTCAAGTTATATATACTGGTTTGAAACAAAGAAGACTATTGAAATCTAGCTACAATTTTTTCATCTAAAATCCTGTAGGAAAACTTTTCAGTATAAGGCATACTTAGTTTCTTCTACTTCATGGTCTTAAATTTAACTTTGTCTATTATTTAAGTCTAGTGTTGATTAGAGGATTTTTCTTTCCTCATTTTTTAGAGCATTCCTACTCTAGAAAAATGGCATTTCTAGACCAAAATGTCATTGTTTTTGCCTGTGGACTGCCCCTAATTATTTCTAGTTGTTCTACTGTGCTTGTTTTTGGAGTGGTTGAAGTGTGTGATAAAACAAGAGCCATCACATTTGTTCTCCTTGTCTTTGAAATTATCCTTTAAAGAAGAATGTAAAGTTGTATGGCCTTTTATATAATAGCTGTATTCCTGAAAACCTGTGGGTACCAGTCTACTAATCTATAAAGACTTAAGTTTAGTTTCATGATCTTTTCTAATAACATTTTTGTCTATTTCTATTCCACTTTTAGAAATTACACTGTGTTTTACCTACAGGAAGTCTTTTAGTGAGACCTTTTATTATATTATTAAATTCACCTAATTTAACTGTTTTAATTGTCACTCTTGAATAAGGACATAATATCTCAGTATTATATTGAATCTATTTTGGCTTAGAAAGTTAGGTTTTTGAAATACATAGTTTTATTAATGAAAAATTGACATGCTTTTTTTCATTACTTGCCAACTTTTTGTTCGGTTTATGCAGTGTTGTCTTTCTGCCATTTTTTCACACTTTAGTCTTTTGAAAATTTCAGATGGAAAAATTGAAACAGAATAATGAACACCTGTATACCGTTCATCTAGACTCTCAGCTGTTGTTAACATTTTGCCACATTTACTTTCTCTCTAGTTAAAATTTTTTTCTGAACCATTTTAAAATCAGTTGCAAACAACATAACATTTCTTTTTTGGATATGTTAGCATGTTTCTTCTAAAACCAAGGACATTTATTCATAACCATAATATTACTGTCACACTCAAAAAGTTTATTGTTGATAAAATATTATCTAACATACAGAACAAATTGCTCTAATTTTCCCAAAAATATTTTTCTAATTTTTATTTATTGTTTGATCCAGGACCTTATCAAGGATCATGTACTGCATCTGATCAGCATTTCATTTTATTGTTTTCATCTAAATTATGCCCTTTACCTCCTGCCTTTATTTATTTATGTCTTTCATTACATTGGCTTTTTTTTTTAAGTCCAAGAGAATTTTAAAAGTTTTCTTCTTAGAATTTCTCCAAATCTATATGTAGCTAATTATTTCACTAGTTTCAGCTTCAATAATTGTGGTAAAAGTTCTTTGTATATGATTATGTCTAATTTGGTTTTTACTAAATAGCTAAGGAGTAAAAATGAAATCCTACTAATTATTTTCTTGTATGTTGTACCATAGAATATTCAGAGTCATAAAATAAATTAAGATGTAATCTAAACAAATGATATTTTTAAAGTCATTTGTTTTATTTGAAGAGTCTTGAAGGAATTTAACTCACCTTATTGCAGCCCTTCAAGGTAGGCAAAGCAGGTGTGGCAGCCCTGTTTTACAGGTGTATAATTTGTTTTACAAGTGAAGAAATAGACTCAGAGATCAGATAGAACTTTCCAAACTAGTAAGGAAAATTATATGGCTCACCCTTTTCCTAATGGGTAGGAAAAAATAGACAAAAATTTATGTACTGTTTTTGCTTTTTCCTCATAGGTGTACTGCTAGACTAGATTTGGAAGGCAAAATTAGACTTTTTCCTCTCTTTGTAACACTGTAAATCAATTTTGAAAGTTTAAAAGTAGCTATAAAATGAGGTTCTGAGCATGAAGCCACAGTAGACTTATAGGTGATGGCTTAGGCATATATGTGGAAACTTAATTTAAGAGAACATTTATAATAAAACTCTGTTTTTGTAGTCAGTGTGTCAGTTATTTTCTGTCTGATGACAAGGGTCTAATTCCAGAAAAGTGGTGACAATGTTTATATGGCCTGACTGAATTGACCTTTTTTAATTGATTTACTTTTTCTTGTGGTAATAAAGGCTGATAGCCAGGTGACTAATGAGATTTTGTAGTTAATCAGTGCTATTGTTAAGATGACCGAAATCAGAAGACTTAAAAATTCCAATGGTTGTTCCAATTAGCCATTACATATCACAGGGAAATTATTAATGTAGTAATTTGTATAGATTTAGCCTTATACTTGGAGACAATGTGAGCTACATTTGACCTTGAGGACTGATGACTTAATTATCTCTTCCATTGAACCTGACTTCTGTTTAAAGTACAGAAGAACACTTTAAAATTAGAGCATGAAATAAGACTTAAGGTTGGAAAGATACATTTATTATTATTACATAAGATAAATATAATTTAATTGTTAATCTCAAAGACGAAACTGATGACAAAGTCTTCTGTTTTCCAGCTTTGCAATATTGCTGTCTTCATTTTCTCCAGTGTTGATTTCCTGTGTTTTTCTCCATAGAAGCTTTTCTCTTTGTAGTTCTTTCTTCTACCTCAGGCTTCCTTTGAACTTTTCCATTCACCTGAAAACTTCCCACTTAATAGTGAATATCACAAATGTCACTAATCTCCTTATTCACATATATCAAGCACTATCATAGTCAAGACATATTTTTGTTACTTCCTAAAACATGACTGTTACATAATTATTTTTCCTTTTAAAGTAATTTTTGTCAACTTACAGAATGATTGAAATGTACAGAAAAGTTGAAAAAAAAAACTAAACTGATGGCCCATATATGTATTACCTAGATTTAGCAGTTAACATTTTGCCATATTTTTATTATCTCTTTGCTTAAATCTATATTTTTTGATCACCCATTTGAACATAAGACTTGGGTATTACGATACTTCATTCCTGAATACTTCAACGTGTAACTCCTATTAATAAAAATAGGGACCTTTCATATACATGCGTAATCATACTACCATTATCACAGCTAAGAAAATACTTTTCTTATGTCATCTAATATTCAGTCCATATTCAGATTTCCGTGTTTTCCCAAAATGGCCTTTTAGATCGGGTCTTCAGTCCAGGATTATTCAGGGATTATGCATCCTCTATAATTCTTCTAAATTGTAAATGAGATCTAGAGGCTTGATTGTATTTATGTAAAACATTTTTATTAGAATATTTTATGGTTGATGACAGACAAGTACTTTATAGAGCCTCTGGTTGGGAGGCTCATGAAGTCAGGTTGTCGTCACTACTGGTGATGCCCTGTCTCCAACATAAAGCAATCTTTTCTCTTTACGATTAGCAAGTAGTCAGTGAGGAGACACTTTGGCACTGTGTGATGGTCTTTGTTTTCTAACAGTCTTTCACATAATGGTTTTAGGCACCTGTGATTGTCTTTGCCTAAATCAGTTATTACACAGGAGATTTTAGGCGAATTTCTCATACTTCTTTTCTTCTATGCATGCCCTTCCTTTTGGCATTCTTTTTGTAAAGAAGTTTTTCTTATCAACTAGGGATGAATTATAGTCTCTTGTGAAAAGGCAGGATAAATACTTAATATCTTAATTGCCAATTTTCAGAATAGGAAGTTGGTGTTATGTATTGGTATTGCATTGGTATTGGTAATATATATTGGAGTTGATGTTACCTCCTCCAGGGTTAGCAGACGAGTGTTATCTTCCTCCCTGCTCTACCTTCACTGTCTGATATAGTGATAAATTTATAGGTTTATATCTATTCAGTGTTTTACTTGGTTTTTAAATCTAAGGTAGATGTTTTGATTGTTTTTCTTACCTTGCAGATTTGTAAGGGAGAAATACTATTAGTGTTTTCTTTTTGGTTTTTTGTTTGTTTGAGACAGGATCTGGCCCTGTCACCCAGGCTGGAGTGCAATGGTGCCATCACAGCTCACTGCAGCCTCCACCTCCTGGACACAAGCGATCCTCCCGAGTAGCTGGGACTGCAGGTGCATGCCACCACACCCGCCTAAGTTTTGTATTTATTGTAGAGACAGGGTTTCACCATGTTACCCAGGCTGGTCTCAAACTCCTGGGCTCAAGTAATCTGCCTGCCTTAGCCTCCCAAAGTGTTGGGATTACAGGTATTAGCCACCAGACCCATCTTATTAGTGTATTCTTTTTTTACTTTTTAAAAATTTATTTATTTATTTTTGAGATGGAGTCTCACTCTGTTGCCCAGGCTGGAGTACAGTGGCGTGATCTTGGCTCACTGCAACCTCTGCCCCCCGGGTTCAAGCTATTCTCCTGCCTCAGCCTCCCAAGTAGCTGGAATCACAGGCACCCACCATCACATCCAGCTAATTTTTGTATTTTTAGTAGAAACGGAGTTTCACCATGTTGTCTAGGGTGGTCTTTAACAGTGTATTCTTAAATAAACAAAGGATCTTTGATAAATGCCAGTTTGGTATTTTCTGATGCAGCAGGTAAAGACCAAATAAAATAAGAATAGT